CCCAGCCAACAATAGTTCGACAAACCCTCAAGAACCTTATTATTCAAGTACTTCATCAAATCTCAATAATGATGTACAACACAACTATAGAATCTAATATCTCAAGAATATCGGCCGTAGCAATGTATTAATGATTAAGCATAATGATGACCAATTTAGACCCATCAATGTTTTCTTAGAATTCCGTTATGTTTTAATCAAGTTATAATAAGCTAAATCTTGGTTTCTAACATTTAATCCTATATTCTTAGCATATATGAGTCAAGTAAGACATGAAGTAAGAAGGTCACGTAATTCTACAAGGCGCAATTCATAACGTAATCTATCCCTGAGCATGATTAACCCTAGCACACGCATATATGCTCGTCACCTCACGTAATTCTACAAGGCGCAATTCATAACGTAATCTATCCTTGATCATGATTAACCCTGGCACATGCATATATGCTCGTCACCTCATATATGTATCACCCCTGCATGTAGCAATTAATGTCAAATAGTAGAAAAATTCACTCGACAAAGTTAGGCAAGTCACTTACCTCAATTCGGCTAACTCAATATTCAATTTAGCTTTTTCCTTTACAAATTCACCTCCGCGCGGCTCAATCTAGCCAAAGACGACTTAAATACATATGACGAAACGAACCTACCCGAGGCTTCATGAATCGGACACCAAAATGCATGAAGATTGAAATAAACTTCAAAAACTTCTAGAATCGCAACCAAGCGTCCGAACCCATATCAAATCAACTCCAAATAGAGCCAAATTTTGCTGGCAAGTTCCATATGACGAAACGAACCTACCTGAGGCTTCAAATCACACATAACCTTGAAACGATGAATCACACCTAAGTCAAAATCAATTAACTATTAAACTTCAACTTCTACGGCCGATGCCGAAACCTATCAAATCACGTCCAATTGACCTTAAATTTTGCGCACAAGTCACATTTAACATTACGAACCTACTCCAACTTCCGAAATCGGAATCCGACCCCGATATCAAAATGTCCACTCCTGGTCAAACATCCCGAAAATTCAACTTTTGCCATTTTAAACCTAATTCAACTACATACCTCCAAATCACAATCCGAACCTGCTCGTAAGTTCAAAATCATCCAGCGGAGCTAATGAAACCGACCAAACTCCATTCCGATGTCAAATGCTAAAAAGCTATGTTGCGCGGACTCTCCAAAATGTAGCCGCACCCGTGTAGGATTCTTAAAAAATGCACTACTATTGGAGGATCAGACACGTATCCTGCCACATTTTCGAAGAGTCCGAGCAACATAGCTAAAAAGTCAAACTTGGTTGGCTTTTCCAACTTAAAGCTTCAATTTTGAAGTTCATTCTTCTAAATCGATTCCGAATAACTTGAAAACCACAACCGACGATTCACACAAGTCATAATACATCACGCGGAGATACTCATGCCCTCAAACTACGGAGCGAAGTGCAAATGCTCAAAACGACCAGTTGGGTCGTTACAAATACACTTGTCCAAAACGAAATAAAACAGATAGGAAAGAGACTTCAGGGTCTGCAAACGCGGTGTACCTCTACCTCAAGTCTCCTGGAAGTGATAGTCCGAGCTATCTCCGCTATGCACAGCTAGGACCAACACCGACATCTGCACATGAAGTGCAGAAATGTAGTATGAGTGCAACCAACCTCATGTACTCCGTAAGTACTGGGTCTAACCTCGACGAACTACTAACGAGGCTATGACGGAGCACTCACTATATACATGTATGAGTATAAGTAGAAAATAATGACGGAATAGAGAAACAACAATTAACATGGAAATTGGAATAAGGACACCAGTGGGCCCCAAAATATCATCAATACTTAACTTCACAACACAATGCGATAACAAAACCAATAGCTAAGAATAACCATAATATTTCTCCGTTGTGGCGCGCAACCGATGCACACCTATATTACAATACCGTTTCGGCGTGCAACCCGATCCCAAATATACATATTATAATACTGCGACCATCAACAGCGTATCTCACAACATAACGCAAAAAAGGAAGTAAGTGAATAATGCCTCTAAGACAATCCATAATACATAGTAAAGTGAAATAGGAGCAAGTAAGACTAATAAACGAGTAAAAACATGAGACAAATACAAGCATCTATCTGATAACATGTAAAAATATAGAGCAAGTAAAGTCGGATAATAAATAAAGACATGAAAACATGGAAGCATAAAATAAGTAGAGGCATGTAACAAGTGAAGGCATGTATTGAACAAGTAGTGACATGTAGCAATTAAAACATCTAACAAGTAGTAACATAGAATAAATGAAGGCATGATGCAATTGAGGACAAGCAATTAAGTAGCCAACTCCGCATGCTCAATCCATGACAACGCATATACACTTATCACCTTGCATATACATTGTCCCCACACATAAATTAAGTAGCAAATAGACTAATCATGTCTTAATTCCTTCAAGTCAAGGTTAACTATGACACTAACCTCTTTTCGGAATCAAATCAACAATCAACCACGATGACTTTTTCCTTTAGACCAAGCCTCATAACTAACCAAATCTAGCCAAATATCATTTTAACAATCCAAAACAAGCTTTAGAAACTACCCTCGAATGAAAACGGTTCAATTTTTGACTAATGAAAAAGGTTACATTTTTAACTAAATTAAAAAAGTCGACAAAAAGTCAACTCAGGCTCACGTGGTTGAAATCCGAAATTCGGACCAAATCCTGATTACCTATTAACCCCCGAGCCCGAATATGTGATTAGTGTTAAAATCCGACATCAATTCGAGTTTAAATTTCAATTTTACAAAGCTCCTAATTTCTTCCTTGAAATTAATAGATTTGATGAACATGGAAAAGTAACGGGAATCGATGAAAAACAAATTAAAGTTTCTTAGCACTATATTTGGGAAGAAAATGCTCTCATGAAATCGCCTTAAATGGAGTCTAGGGTTGAAAAATGAGCTAAGTTTCGAGTTTCCTAATTTTTACCCAGCTGTAAATGTCGCATTTGCACAATTGCAGCCATTGCAAAAGTGAATCACTGATCTCAAATACGATTAGTGTCCCAGCCATGCAATCATCGCAAATACGACATTCCCTTCACATTGACGAAGGCCGTTCAGCTCGCAAATGCGGAAAATCCTTTACAAAAGCGAAGCTATCACCCAGCCTGCCTGTATCGCAAATCCTTCTCAAAAGCGCAGACGCCCCCAGTCTCCACTTCGCATTTGCGAGCCTGACATCACAAATGTGAGACTTGCAACTTCACATCGGTAGAATTCCAACTGGAGTTCATTTCCACCCAAAACATTTAAAACTTCGCTCAAGTGTAATAGTATCATACAAACTCAGCTCGCCAACTCAAATCATAAAAACAACCTCAAAATCAAGAGCCAGTCATCAAAACTCAATATTTTCAACTTAAAAGCTCAGTTTTTGCCAATTTTCACATAACGCATCGAAACACCCTCGTGTCACCCGAGACCGCAACCAAACATCCGCTAAAGTCCAAAAACATAATACAAACCTATCGGAATTATCAAAACACCGTTCCAAGGTTGCTTATCAAGAACGTTGACCGTGGTCAACTTAAGCCTCATTTTAAGTTAAAAATCACGTTTTCTTTAAAATTTCACATAATAGCTTTCCAAAAGAGACACGGGCCATACACGCAAGTCATTAATCATGAAATAAAGCTACGGGAGGTATCAAAACATATAAAAAGGAGCTAGTACTCAAAGTGACATATCAGATCGTCACAAAAATATAACTTTCTTGACAATAAAAATATACACAATTAGTATTGTAAAAATACCTCAACAAAATTAAAACATCTAAATTTTCTTATCTTAAAGTTGGAAAAAATATACACTAAAAATGCTTTAAAAATCGAAAAATAGTTAAATAGTAAAAATTGCCTCTACAAAGGAGCAGGAGGAGGCAAAAGAGAATATGTAAAGGAGAGAAAAATGAGGAAGAAGGATTTTTTACCTATTTATGCCCTTGATTGTTCGATAACTTCATTCATCAAGTATGTTGGTAAATTCTGTGTCTGTGCTTAGATCTTGCCGCCAATTTTTAAAAATCGATGAAATCTTTTTATGGTGTGCGTACACACTATCATCCCCAGACTCCACTTGTGGCATTACCCTGGGTATGTTGTTGATAAAAAAATTTGATAGATTCAACCGGAATATATTTATATTACTTTGTCCCCGAGTAAAAGAGTGTCCAAGTTTTCTAATCGTATGATTTTTAATATTTAGAGAACTCTTCTTAATTTTCAAGGTTTCAAAGTCTTAAGTTGTGAGTAAGTAGAAAGCTTAAGCTTTCAAATTACGAATCGAAGATATCCGTCAAGGCGATGGCCATCACCTGCTTTGCGAGCTGGTGGCCACATAACTATCCTTCTCAGGGGCGGAGCTATCCTTTCGGTTGCGGGTTCGGTCGAACCCATTAACTTTGGTTCAAATCCTGTATTTGTCTTAATAATCCATTGAATTATACACAAATTTTTAATGTAGAATCCAGTAGCTTAAAAAGATTAGAATTCCGAACCAGATTCATATCCTAGCGCTGCCTTTAATCCTTCACCTTGGGCATTGAAGGAACCAATCCATGATTTGACATTCGTGAAATGTTTGAAATGTTCCTTATATGTACAGTAGAGCCAAGATTCTTTGTACTGACGTACGCCAATCGTAAAAGATATTTCCACCTATTTTTGTATGGTTATTTTGCATGCACTTTCACTAGATGCTAGTATATGAGATCTATAAAAAGAAATGAGGTATAGTAATTTTGTTATAACTCAATACGATATTTTGTATATTTTCATTCTCAATTTTGCTAATGCTTTTTATGGCCTTCTATTTTTACCGTGTTAATATTTGTTCATGGATGAGAATTTCGAAATAGTTTTTGAGGTTTTTTTTTTGATTTTGTTGTTTTACCGTGTTAGAATATCCAAAAAATGAATTTGAACAGCTTTTAAAGCCTCATTAATGGGTAACATTCTCCTACTATATACATACATTTTAAGTAATAAACTTAGGAGTGCAAGAAAAGGTTTCCAAGGAAGATAAAGGACCCAAGACTCTATTTTGTTCTTACATCATAAAGATTTTAGTTGTGATTCCTTCATTAGGATGATTTAGACTATAGCAAAAAATATTAACCTTATTGCTCTCTCAAAAATTTCTAACATTTGGTATCAGAGCTTGTGTGTTGAGAGACAACCAAACTTGGAGAAAAGATGACAAACACTAATGGAACACCATTCCAAGTTCCTATGCTCACAAAAGAGAACTATGGGAATTGGTGTATTCGAATGAAGGCCTTGCTTGGTGCTTATGATGTTTGGGAACCGGTAGAGTCTGGTGTTGATGACGCAGAAGATGTCGCATCCACAAATAAGAAAGATCAAAAGGCACTCACTCTCATCCATCAAGGTTTGGATGACAAGATGTTCAAGAAGGTTGCAAATGCGACAACCTCCAAGAAAGCATGGGACATTCTTCAAACTTCCTTTAAAGGTTTGGACAAAGTAAAAAAGGTTCGTCTCTAGACCTTAAGACGAGAGTTTGAATCATTGCATAATGAAAGAAAATGAATCTGTTTCAGATTACATTTCAAGAGTTTTGGCTATTGTCAATCAAATGAAAAGATATGGCGAAGAGTTGAAGGATGATAGGGTCGTTGCAAAAATACTACGATCCCTAGATTCAAAATTTGATTATATTGTTGTTGCTGTTGAAGAGTCCAAAGACTTGGACACCATGACCATAAATGAACTTTCGAGTTCTTTGCAAGCCCGTGAAGAAAAATTGAAGAAACCGAAAGAAGAATCGGTTGAAAAGGCATTGCAAGCAAAACTTTCCTTCAAGGAGAAAGATGAAAGGCGTGGTTCACAGCAAAGAGGTCGTGGAAATGGAAGAGGTAGTGGTAGAGGAGGAAAAGGTGGTAAGTCAACCACCAAATAGAGACAATAAAAGCCAAGACTATAGTCAAAGAAGAGGTCGTGGAAGAGGCAAAGATGGAGACAAAATCAAGGAAAGTATGACAAATCGAATGTTGAATGTTATACTGGGAATGTAAAGATAATTCGGAGGAGAAAAACAACTTTGTGAAGAGCAAAAATGAAGATGAAGATGCCACTCTACTTCTTGCATGCAAAGGAGAAGAAAGTGATGAAAAGAACAAATGGTACCTTGACTCCGGTGCAAGTAGTCATATTTGTGGAAAGAAAAATTTATTTGTGGAGCTTAAGGAGCTAAATGGTGGCCCAATCACTTTTGGAGACTCTTCACGAGTTCAAATCAAAGGAAAAGGTACGATTTTAATTCACTTAAAAGATGGAAGTCATCAATTAATCTCCAATGTTTTGTATGTGCCGGAGATGAAAAGTAATATTTTAAGTTTGGGACAACTTTTGGAGAAAAATTATGACATTCATTTGAAAGACAAAAAGTTTGTATATGAGAGATGAAAAGGGAAGATTGTGAGCCAAAGTACCTATGGCTAATAATAAAATGTTCATCTTATATCTTCAAAATAATGTTTAAGATTCATCTTGGCTTTGGCATATGAGATTTGGCCACTTGAATTTTGATAGCCTAAGGTTGATGAAGAAGGAAAGCATGGTGAATGGATTGCCAACAATTGATCATCCCAACCAACTTGTGAAGGATGTCTCTTTGGAAAGCAAGCAAGAAAAAGCTTTCCTAAAGAGTCTTTAACAAGAGCAAGATGCCCTATCGAGTTAATTCACATGGATGTGTGCGGACCTATCAAGCCATCTTCACTTGGTAAAAGTAATTATTCTTTGTTTGTCCTATTTTATTAGTATGTTTTGAGGGGTCATGTTTTATTACTTGACTATATGCTTAAGATCTCTCATTGTGTATTAAATTTCTTTTGATTTCAGATTATTTGATTGACTATTTTTCACTTTGTAATTCTGGATACTCTGCTCTCCTCCCCTTTTGTACATTAATGCATGCACATGAATTGTTACTTTATAAGAAACCTAAGAATGGTTTGGAAGCTACTCAATCATGAACAGTGTGGATGCTATGGTTAGCTTCCTATGTTAATTTTCCAAATGCTAGACTTCGAATGTATTTAAGACATGCAAACCATGTAAATTCGAATTCGAATCTGAACTACAAATGTATCAAGCCACCTATAGAAGGATGCAGGAACTTGAGTCATTTACTTGTAATTGTTTAAAGTGCTCTTTCACTATTTTATATTTTTTGACTTCATTTTTTGCCCCGTAAAATAATTTGTTTATTGATGTAAACAAGGCACCACCTATTGTATGAGTGGTTCTCTTTAAATAAAAACTTAAACAAGTGTACGGATGCTACAGGTTTCTACTTATCTCAGAATATGTTACCTAAAATTTGCACAAAAAGATAGATGGTTCTTTAATATTTCGCAACGAACTTTCTTATGAAAAAAATATTTCCCAACAAATTTTAAATAGTTGTAGAAGCTCTTATATTTCTTATTTTACCAAATAGTTTACATGAGTATTAGAAGCTAAGTTGCTCTGACATGGCAGTTTAAGTGCCGCATCCGTGTCGACACGACGCTAATATGGTGTGGGTGTGGGATCCATACCGGATTTGGTCAAACAATTTTGGGTACTTTGACCACGGCAGACAAAAAAATTCGAGATGAGATACAATTTGATTCTCGAAATCGAAATCAAAATCAAAACTAGGGTATACCTTATCTAGGAAATCAATCTTATACTTATCTACAACTTGAGAATAAAAAATAAATCCACACTTTACAAGATATTTGCAAGTATTCCACAAAATTTCTCATAATTTAGAGATACTTCTATTTTTTTTTTATTTTTATTATTTTTAATCGGATCCCCGCACCCGTATCCATACTAGGATCCATATCCCCGAATCTTAGAATTTACATCTCGATTGATCTAACCTCTAGATCTGCACCCGTGTCGGATACCTGCACTCGTGTCCGAGCAACTTAGATTAGAAGCTCCTATTGTTTTTCACAACTCTTGGCTGGATAATTAATCTTTTAACTATTCTTGTCGTAGCGGATTCCAAATATGCTTCAGAGCCTGGTGGATAGAATTTGAAGTTGTGAGTAGAAAATTGTTTAACATTGCAGTTGCCAAGAAAATGTGGAAGTTGATATTGGAGGAGTCACAATTTCCCAGGAAAAGAAAAGAAAAGTTTAAGAATTTAGAAACACACACTACACCCAAGGGTGTGGTTTAGTGGTCAATAAAGTGAAAAAAGAACCATGAGGTCTCAAGGAGAGAAAGATATAACCTTATTTCTTCTTGTTTATCTTAGCCGTTAGAAGAGCAGGTTAACCAGTCGAAGTGCCCACAAGATAACACGGTCACCACCGAAATAAGAATTTGGAAACACAATTCTAAACCACAAATTCAAAAAGCTTGAATTTGAAAAAGAATTGCAAGTTCTGGTTAAAATATCCGAATAGATATCATCTTAAAAATAATGACTAGCGATTCACATTAAAAAATTCCATAAAACAAATGCCATCTAAGTTCAAGTTATCTACCATTTCTCGAGATTTAGTTACATTGTTATTTTTGTAGTTTGTTAACTTTTTTACAAGAATAAATGCATGTGGATTCCATTCGCGTAAAACATATAGTTAGGGAGCCTAATTTTGGTTACAAGGATGTTAAAAGGGTAATTGTTGGAATTTTAGGTGCATTTTCCATTTTTTTAAAATATGTTATTTGTATGTAGTTGATTGTTCCTTACTTTTCAAATTGGTATATCATGTAAAGTTTGTTAGATAAGAGTAGGCTATTTCGAAGGAATTTGTGTATTTTCTTATGATAACCACTCATCAAGTATATGGAAAGCAAGAAATGCGGTAATCATACTCGTTGTGAGGTATCTACCACTTTCAACTTATCTAGTCTTTTGAAAACAAGGAATGATGTATTCCTACTCATTGTGAGAGGCATCTTCCTCTTTATAATTGAAGAGTTTGATATCTTTGTTCAGTCTCAATGATTCAATCTTGTCCCAGCGATAGTAATATATCTAGGAAAAGCAAATCATTTACTAGGTTTTTTAGAGAGAATGATGATTGTTCTTGATACAACACTAGAGTTGTGCAATATGTACTTTCTCCTTGTTGTTTATGTAAACATATTTGACCAAGCACAGAATTTAAGTAAGATAGACTTTTGAAACTTGTTTTATTAAATATGCAACAACATTTTGTGGTTGCAAGCCTCTCAAAACTTGTGATTTGTATGGTTATGAAAACTTCTCATTAAGGATAGAATGAGAAGTTTAAGTTAGATTGTTTTCAGAACGTTCATTTTAGAACTACTAAAAAGAAAATAAGGTCATAAATAAACTGGAATGGATAATTCAAGAAAAATGTGTTGTATAATGTGGTGATGAAAAATTTTCTTAGGGTTGTAGCCCGATCTATATACAAATAACATGAATATAGCTTTTGTAATCATGATAGTGTCAAGTTAGCTTTAGGAATCTTGCTTGTTCCATTGAGCACTTGCATACTCTCTTCAATACAATTTTGTATTGTAGTGCCAGTGACAATATGCACAAATACAATTTTTGTATTGTATTGCCAATGACAATATGCACAACCTAAGAATGTAACAAAGGTTATCAATCCTAAGATATGTGAGCATACAAAGGCTATTTTGAATTCTCTCAAAGGAACTTGTGGTGTGTTCTCTCCCATTAGCATTTCTCACCCTGTTCTCATTCATGTTATTTGGGCAAAGGTAAAGCTTCTTATTTCCCCAAAAGAACGGACTCTGGTTATCTGATCAACTATTCTACTGTATAAAAAGTCGGGTTCTGTTTTTTTTTTCCCAAGCAACTAAGTCTATATGACTTCTTTTTGCCTTTCTTGGCATTAAAAAAAAAATGATGCATGTGACTTTATATCAAAAGTTTGTGCTACTATTTCACCTGGTTAGATCGTACTGGGATCCTTGGAAAATTTTCAAGTTATCTGAGACTAAATTTTGAGCTTATCATTGGAGAAGCTGAAGAGATGGAATCTCAGGATTTTGGTGATTGCAACACTTAATTTTCACTGCCCATGGGCAGCTGCATCTAGTATGTTTTCCAACTCTTGTTGAGAATCATCGATGAGACTTTGCACTTACTGAGAATGCTCTAATGTAGATTATAGAACTCTTAAAGCATCTAGAGTTTTGAACGGAATTATTTCATGCTAAGCTACCTAGAGATCAGATAATGTAATACTAAGAATTTGGAATTTTGGGTGGAGCTAGTCATGCTAAGCTACCTGGGTATCCTGGAGATCACAAATAAGCCTTGAAGAGCTTCATCGTGTTCAACTCTATGCACACTGAAAATCGACGCTGTTGATATAGGCTATGCTTCCTGTACACTGTAATCTTGTAATGTCATACTTTTGCAGCTATTGCTGGTCATTGTATAGTTGCATTATTTTTATCCCGTCTGTATTTCTCAGTTCCCACCAGATGATGCTTCTGAATTCAGGTTTTCCTTCTTACAATGTGTGCTTCTGGTGACCCTGTCGGGCTTTGGTTATTTTGTTATCACATCCTTGTTCACAATATCTATCTCATTTGAGATCATATATCACTTGTTATCGAGTAGGAATCTCATTGTTTTATCTGGCAGTCACCTTGTACAATAAGAGTAATAAGGCAATCACTGGCACTTGTTGAAAGTTTGTTGCTTTCAGTACTGCAGTAACCTTTTTTAGCGTAATAAGTTGTGTATTTTTATGACGAATTTCAATTTAAATTTCTATTAGATTATTTAAGCTAGTTGAGATATTTTAGGTTTTTCGATTTTAAATTATGTGGATTTTTTTGTTCCTAATTGGCTATTTGAAGTTTTGTTATGCTTAATAAAATTATTGAGAGACATTTCCAATAAATATTTTAATCTTTTTGCTGCCCCATCTTTGAAAAACCAGTAGTGGTATCACAACTTCATTGGTCTTATGGCCAAAAAATCATTTTCAAATCATTTTTAACCAATATAAATTTTAAACTCATTTTCAAACATGACAAGTAGCAATCTCTCTTTGAATACCCCACAAACTTTTACTAGCGAAAACTATTGGATTTGCTCAGTGAAAATAAAATCATATCTTAAAACCTATGATTTATTGAATGTTGCAATAGAAGAGCAATTATTACGAGCAATCCCTGAAAATCCTATCATTGTCCAGAATCAAAGGGGAATTGGCCCAAAAATTGGATGGGGGTCAAGACGATGTCGGGCGCCGGCAGTTGACTCAAGGGCCCCCGAACCGCGCGAAATGCTCGCCTATTACACGGCTCAAGTGGCACAACACCTTTGATCGACCATAGGGCCTATTCTACCCTTACCGAATTCATTCTATTGAAGCGTAACGTTAAAAGCTCCTTCTCATCTTGCATTTCTTTGATTTGGAAGTTCCAGAATGTTGTCTGTGGATTTCTATAACAAAGGAAAGTCTCATACCCTAATAATATGCCATTTGATTGAAACAAGTTCCGTGCTGCACAAAATCATAAGACGAAAAAGAAAGAAGAAAAAGAAGTGCACTACAAAAGTGTGCAATTTCAGCGATGCTCAAAACAATGCTCAAGGACAAACAACATAAGCAAGAATTGAGGAGGAGCAACTTTTTAAATTGCAACAACGGAAGAAAAGGAGTAGTGTTGAAATTTTGTTGCTTTCAGTTATTGCAGTAACTTCTTTAGTACAATAAGTTGCTTAGTTTTAGGAGGGATTTTAATTTTAAATTTCAATTAGATTATTAAGTAAGTTGAGATATTTTAGGTTTTTTGAATTTTAAATTATGTAGATTTTTTGTTCCTAATTGGCTATTTAAAGCCTTGTTATGCTTAATAAAATTATTGAGAGACATTTTCAATCAATACTTTTAATCTTTTTGCTGCTCCATCTTTTAAAAAACCAACAACTCTTATAAGCTAGGTCGTTCAACTGGTTAAGAGATGAGCTATAACAACTTCCAAACAAGCTGCTGGTTGCACGAGAGAATTGGCAAAGGTATGGACAAAAATCACTAGGACACTTGTTCAAATTGATTGAAATGGAGACTTATCTAAGAAGTTAAATAAGAGGGCCCGAGATCTCTTGAATCAATAGAGACTCAGCTAAGAATAAAATACAATGGAAGTAAAGGATGTATCTAAGTAATACAGATTAATTGAGATTAACCTTCAAATATGTGGATTGATATGAATAAATGGAGCGACATAGTCAATGAGGATTTATATAGAGGGTTTACATAACATTTTTTTATAAGAAAATAGACCTCTAACTCAAGAGGTTAGAATTCTCAAATACCATATAAGGAGTCCAATATCCCTTCCCACAGCTGATGTGGGACTCCACTTCTATTTTTTCCATTGAGGTGTATTCGTTTGATTAATGATTGGTTGTTAATCAATTCAGACTCCATGTCGAATTAAAGTTTAAATCCCCCTGTTGGTGTAAGGTAACAGGGCAGTTTTGATCAAGTCGAGTCTGGATACATATGAACAGTCCCTGAACCATCATGTTCCTCTCTTGCACAAGTAGTTTGACCTGTAGCTAGCTTCTTATCTATTCGTTTTCTTACTAAGGAATGACACCCTACATCTTTTTTGAAATCAGATAGTAGCTATAATTGCTTTGTGGCTAAGAGAGTTATCGTTGTTCAAGTTGTTTCTAACACTTCTTGCTCTTCTAGTGATTGTCCAATATAGTATGGGTTGTAATATTCCAACCGATTGTCCAATGAAGTTGTGTTTTTTGATAGTGCACTCCCTAATCAAGATGGAAATTTAAGAGAAACTACAAATTTGTTGAGAATTTTTGCATTGTCTTTTTTAACTACACAAAATCTTGCTTCGCACAAATATGCGCTATATATTGTGGATACTGTTTCCTGTTTGTGTAGAGTGGCTAACACACTGATGACAAACATAAATGTGTTTCAGTTTGACAGGAATAACTCAACGATATCACAGAAACGTGAAAGCAGAAGATAAGGTCTCTGCAGAAGTTAATGACACAGAGGTATATGACTAGTTGACTCTACTGTCCTCTTATCTCCTAACAAAGGTACTCCATAGTAAATAAATATGTGGTTAGAGGCAAATGCTTTTATAGTTCTTCGGTAACTAGGAAGCAACTCCATGGCTGCTAAGCTGATACAAATATAAGTACATATGTCAATGATTAATGTTTGTATAGTTCTCTGGTTACTTCAACGAAAATCCATATATGCTAAGTTAATACAAATCTTTGCAGGGGACTCTGTGGCCTTTAATGCATCTTTATCTATCGTGTGTCGATCCTAGGTCGCTTAATGTAAATTTGAAGTTATCTGATGTTATCAGCTTTTGTCCCTCTCTGGTAGAAGCTTCAATATAGTATGCGGTAATTAATGAAGGTGTTTTACATCATAAATGAATCATATATGATATCTTGCTCTTCGTTCATCTGAATTGTGTTGTCATACACATGGGTTGTACATCATCAGAACCAGGAAATTGGTGTGACAGTTGTCCAGTCACATACAGCATGCAAACTAAATAGTAATATTTATAATCAATACGTTGAGACTTATTCAATATGTTTCCAGTACCTATCTATATTACAAAAATCCAGTTGGTGAAATTCTTCTATCAATGTTTGGAGACAGGAATCAAAATATGCAAGTTTCATGACAATGGAAGAAGTGCTACAGACGGTAGAAAAGTACTGACCTCTTGCTGCTCTTTTCTCTGTGTTTCCCTTGAAAAGCATCGTATCTGATCCTCGATTTAACAGGCAACTCGAGGAGCCTGATGTTGATGATCTCAGCATTACTGATCTTGTCCATTTGGAAAACCAATTTGAGACTGCTCTTACACAAACCAGATTTAGAAAGGTTGGATCTTCCACATTCCTCTGTGCTTCTTACTCATGCCTAGACTTGCTCCATCTGTTACTCTTGCTGTAGCATTGTGTTCTTTAGGAACAGCTGCCCTTCTTGAAGCTTAAAGCTTTACATAAGTGGTACTTGAAGCTGGAGAAGTCTGTTGGCGTGGCGCTACATCAGTTGTATTTCATAAACAATGCAACTCCGCATGGAGTGTTTTGATCATTTTTACCCAATCCTAGATTTAATCTTTTTCTTTTGTTTTTAANGAGATGGTTTTTTGACATCAATGTCTTCACTTATCTTTCTTCTTCTTACTCTTCGACTCCTGTAATACAATTTTTTTTTTTTGAGTTGTAAATCAGGAAGAAAATCTAAACTGCTAACCTAGTTTTGTTATTTGCAGACACACTTGTTGATTGAATCAATTAAGAATCTTCATGACAAGGTAGGCCTCCATTTTTCCTGAGCATGTTTGCTTATTTTCTCAATGAATATGTAGAGCACCTTTGCAGATTTGATTCCTTTCCAATCTCATCGGTTGATGCACTTGGTAACTATGTTGCTTGGACTCTCCGAAAATATGGCCGGATACGTGTCGGATCCTCCAAAAGTAGTGCATTTTTTAAGGATCCGGTACGGGTGCGGCTACATTTTGGAGAGTCCGCGCAACATAGCTTGATAAATATGGCATCTGCTGCTTTCTCCACACGCGGGTATTTCCCTGATGTCAAGAGCTCAGTGTTAACAAAGGCTCATTTGAGGCGCTTTTAAGCCCTGAAGCTCAGAGAAGCGCAGGGTAGGGCTTCGCCTCACATAGGCTGCGTTTAAGTGTAGGCAAGGCACTAATGCATGTGCCTTATCGCACATAAGTTCTATCTCGAATAGATTCGAAATAGCAAATGTCATTTGCAAAAAGACTAATTGTTAAGGAGTTCATTATGAGTGAAGTGGTTACTTATTCCTTTCCAATCTCATCGGTTGATGCACTTGGTAACTATGTTGCTCGGACTCTCCGAAAATATGGCCGGATACGTGTCGGATCCTCCAAAAGTAGTGCATTTTTTAAGGATCCGGTACGGGTGCGGCTACATTTTGGAGAGTCCGCGCAACATAGCTTGATAAATATGGCATCTGCTGCTTTCTCCACACGCGGGTATTTCCCTGATGTCAAGAGCTCAGTGTTAACAAAGGCTCATTTGAGGCGCTTTTAAGCCCTGAAGCTCAGAGAAGCGCAGGGTAGGGCTTCGCCTCACATAGGCTGCGTTTAAGTGTAGGCAAGGCACTAATGCATGTGCCTTATCGCACATAAGTTCTATCTCGAATAGATTCGAAATAGCAAATGTCATTTGCAAAAAGACTAATTGTTAAGGAGTTCATTATGAGTGAAGTGGTTACTTACTCTTGCATTACATATATTTTTATTTTTTTTTTCCTTCATTGAGCCTTTAGTATCTAAAGCCAATACTTTGCGCTTTGGGCTTAATGCCGCGATACCGAAGTGCTTTTTAATGCTTTTTGCCTTTTACTACACAGCAAGAGCTTAAGACATGATAAGTCGAAGAGGTTATCTCTCATTGAAGGCGATAGATCGAGACCTTAAAATTCATCAAGCATCCCCCATCAAGCATCCCCCATCAAGCATCCCCCATCAAGCATCCCCCCTTATCCGTTGCTGTCATTGAATCGAATAGAAGTCATGGTGTCCTTGTGGCTTTTATCCTTGATTCTCAACTCAGTTAAATGTCTATAATATAGCCATCTTATATCCATCTCAACTCTGTAAAACTCTTTTTCTGAATTGTCGAATCATACCTGGAATGCTGTACTCATCCTTACTTTCATGTTAGGAGTAGTGCTTGCATGCCATGATCATAATTTTGAGGTTGTTTACTCAACAAAATGTTTCCAAATTAGAGTTTTGGATTTACCTAGGTCCAGAAGAACCCCACTGCTAGACTGAAAAAATACTCGAGTCGAGACCAGTACAGAACACCTAAATTTGAGAGTAACTTTTCTGAGTTTGCCATCTTGCTTTTAAAATGCTTCATCTGATTCTATTCAATCAAGATTCTCCAGTCTCCTGAAAGGGTGTACGAAGATGTAAGGCTGCTGACTTCTCTGAAAATGAACTTAGGCAGATAGTTGATCATCTGGACAAGGATATGCTATCATTTGATTGTCAACCAAAATCCCTACTTTTGGCTTCAGTTTTTCCTGAAACAAGTGCATCCATGCAGCTCTTAACAAGGGACTTGTTACGGAGTTGAGCATATCATGGAGTTGGTTTACCCTTTCAAGTTCTCACTAGTAGATCATCTTGCTGTCTACAGCTCTATTTAGTTTTATAAAAATTTCAAGTTTTGATCCCCTATTTATCAACCGAGGACTGTATAAATATTCGTGTGTCCTACTTATTAGCATTTTCTTAACATAGGTGTTACATTTAGTGTGCTAGACATAACATGAAACTCTATTTGCAGGAGAAGCTGCTGATAGAAGAAAACAAAGTTCTGGATGACGAGGTATGATTTGCTGACTGATAAAGCTGCAGTTCTGCTAAAAAACATATAATTGTGGGGATATATTTGTGTGATTGACTTATGTGGTTTTACAGATAGGTAGCATCAAGAAGAAAGAAGCAAATGAGATGGCAGTGGATCTCAATAACATTGCACCAACCCCTATGGATTGTGGACAACAGAGAGAGACCCTGTACTTTCTCTAGACATAATGAAGGCGGCATCACACACATCATATCAAAGCTCAAGAAAATAGCAGCCTTCCCAATATATTATAGCAGAGCAGCCAGTCTCTCTAGGCTTGGGACTAGTCCTGCCCAAGTTTTATCTGCTACATCTAACTAGGGAAGTACTACGACTACTACTACGTGGTGTTCTATTGTATGTTGATAAATTTTATCTGCTACATCTAACTAGGGAGTACTATGCATTGTATGCTTGTCTCCTGCTATAGTTGAAATACTGAAAAGTTGTGTGAGGAGCAATAAGGAGATACTTGCAGTGTCTCGAAAACTCTATCTAGTGGCACCATCTGAATGACTATGTAAATTGAAGGTTTTATGAGAAGCCATTGTTTATTCCAAGTCTTTCTACAACAGGGTGATGCAAACCGAGTGGTGGCAGACCTTAATGCAAAAATTGCCTGTCACTACCTCTTGTTTCCATAGCAGAACAGATGTTTTGTTTGGCTAAAATTTTCAAATTTCCTTAGTTTCAGAACAACTTTGAAAAAATGAATGATCAGATAAGTGCTATAAGAGTCCAAAGGCCTGTGTTTGGCCAATATATCTGAGGGCTGTCTTGCCCTTTGTCAATAGTAAAGAACCAGTTTGTGTCTCGGTAATATCTCAAAAAATAATTTTACTTAAATGTTCATTTTTATTTGTGTATAAAAATTACATTATAAAAGATGATACTTAGAAACACTGTAACTTTGTCATCACATGCCGTGTTTGCCTTGGAACTTATCGTATGTATGTTCGAGCTGAGATGGCAAACTAAGAATATTGGGCCTCGAACTCTGCTATCAACACATATTTTCCTTTTTATCTCCAATTTTGAGTCGCACTACAAGCTTTTCAGGGTCAGTTCGCAAATTAGATCCATCAGAATTCAAGACACGAAGTCAACAGAGGTTAATCACGTACTCATTTTCAAAGTCACAACTAGTGTCCTAGAAGCTTGGCCTGATAGGTTGGCAGTTTTCATTTTCAAACTAAGTTTCAGGAAAGAAAACGGCGAGGTTGGATGGCGTCTATAGTAGGGAAAATGACACTGTATAGTCGTTCTCAAAATAATAACAAAAAAAAATATATTTTCTTGTATATATATATATATTTTGTATATTATATACAAAAATTATACAAATTTTATACACTTTTTCGACTACTGAATATAAATAGTTTCTGGCGTGGCCTAGAAATGACAATACCCCTTATTAGTATTTGGTAATGTAAAGTCAAAGATCTTTTTTGAGGTTTTTTTTTCCCTCACTTAACAAAAGTTTCTCATCGGTGAGGAAGCGCTCCTTTCTTCTCTTTATATTAAATTATTCTTCATTGGACTTATCAAGAGCAAGTAAAAGGGGTGGTCTCTCGCATTGTCCTCCCCTCCCCCTCCTCTACGAGCGAGATATAAATGAGGCCAATCCAAATCGGAATTTGCTAAAATTATTTTTACATTTTGAGCTTACTAGAAAAGTATGTAAATACATGCTTATCGGAATATGTCCAGGTTATTCCCCTTAACTAAATTTTGTAACATCTGATTTAATTTTTATAACAGTTGTGTTTATTGTTGTATATTAATTCTCCTGATTAATTCTTTCTTCTGTAACAGTCCAACAACTTGCTTATATAAACGATGTCTAGCTACTAGAACTTTTTTACAAAGTTAATTGTTGAACATGATATTAACAATGTGGTTCATAGTTTTATTCGATGAAGTGATTTTGCTTTTAAGATTTATATATATATTCAATCTTATCTGTTAGTTTACTGATGGTTGATAATTGGGCACCTTTTATGGAATTTAGGTTGAATTTGAAAAAGAGAACTTGGAGTTTTTAATTGAATGATGTAATTCCATAAACTTAGGAATCAGGGAAATGATTCATGAGTAATTAGACATATACTTGCTCATCTTATGTAATAATTAATTCCAAAAATATACTTTCTTCTTTTCAGGAAGAATAAACTATTTTCTTATTAGTGCATTCTAAAAAAAATGACACTTTCTTAAACAAAAAAATATAATTTTACTTGAACTTTTCATTTTACCCTAATGAAATTTTTTATAATCACATATGTCATGAATTATTTAAGAATATAAATTTCAAAAGTTAAACAGTCATACAAATAGTATGGTATATTTAAGAGCAAAGTTTTAAAAAAAATTCTTTCTTACTTAAATACCATATACAGTTAAACTATGCTATATAAATTGACATATATGGAGTAATACATTTATGTTAATTCTATTTCATAAAATATAGAGAATCCTCTAGTTGATTAACATAAAATAGAACCATAACTGAATGGTAAACCACCCGCTATTTACATTTATGAGTAGATTCTTACAAAAATTGGCCAATTTATAAATTATTACTAATATTAGCTAAATATTACTAATACTAACCAATTAACTATTTGTACCCCAAAAAAGTTAATTTTTTGCTTTCTTGAGTGACTGTTATTAGAATAGATTGAGTACATCTTAAGAAGCTTGATTCTCAGTTTTGGGATGATTTGGTGGAGTTTTGAGGCGGTTTGAATTGAAAATTCTAAGTAGAAGGTGAACATGAAAAAAATGATGTGTGTATCACATATGTATCGTATTTGTATCAATTGCGTATCACATGTATATCCATGTATACCTATTTGTGAGATACAGACGTCATACATGTTTGATACATGTGTCGTAGAAGAATTTTTGAACTCGATTTTAACTATGAATTTTGATATCAAATCACCTCTAATCTTTCTCAAATTTTGTATATTGACTCGTCTATATGTTTTCAATGAATTTCAACCATACCCATTGAAAAATGTCCTTTTTGCTTAGATTTTTGGAAATTGTCATTCTTTTTTTTGTATTTTATCACCTTATTTGCTGCATCATCCATGAAATTTCCTTTCCGTCTTGCATCTAATGTTGCTAATCATGCTTTAAAATATAGAAGAAAATCTTTGCGTGTGATTCTTGGAGAGAAAGAATCTTATTTATTTGGGTTTTCAATTTTAATATGTACTTGACTAGTTTTGGTAAGTATATGATTAATGGATAGAGGTTGGTAAATTGGGACTTATATGTAACATTTGCGTATGTTTCCCTAACTGAATTGCAAGGAAAATTATAGCTCTATTTATCAACTTCCTTAAACGCTTGAACTCTTTGCATTCTGGGAAATTTCTTAAGTTTTCATTTTTTTAGTTTTAGATTTATCTTCTTTTTTTTCGGTTGAACAGTTTAGATTAATCATTCTTGTTTCAAGTTAATCATGCACCCATTCCTGGAAAATTAAGTAACTTTTAATCATTAGCTCATTTAATTTAACACACATTTCTCATGGAATAATATCATACACATCGTATATTACATGTGCGAAATCACGTTTACTTACGCATACCTCAAGAGTTAGCATTAACATTACAGAATGAAAAGAAAAGAAAAAAAAAAACTAGATACGAGACGTTCTTTAGTTTATCAAAACTAGAATCTACTTAGAGCAGATTTGGTCTAGGGATGTTATAATTCCATTTTAGAGTTATGAACTATTATCGCCTGGTGAACTAGTTTTTAGAGTTGAGCTACGTTTAAAATTTATTTTTGGCGAAATATATAAACAGCCCCTTTAAGTTTTTTCCAACAATAAGTATACAAACTGACCTAGTCATCTCCCATCGCGTGCAATATACTTTTTGAAACTATTTTAAGAACTAATTAGTAGTTGACACGTGACTAAAAAATAAGATAGATCTATTGCTCCCTCTTAATAGCATATGCCCATGCTTTGATTCGAAAGCCCTAACCCGTGATTAATTCCTAGATATTCAGTGTCTGGTTCGATAGGACCAGCCCTCCTCTCACCATCAGTGGTAATTCCTCCCAAAATCATCTCTCTCTGCACTTTTTTCAAACCAGTCATCCTTCAATCCCCAAACTATACCTTTATTCCCAAATCCAGTTTCTTACTTCGACACTTCTAAGCAACAGATTATATTGCTTCCCAAATTACACCTTTGCCGCTAATTGAATCGACAGCTGAAATGAACATGGTAGAGTTCTCATGGCTTCCAATAATTAAGCCTATTACTACAATAGGGAAACAACTACATAGAAGAAGCAACGAGAGTAGAGAACAGAAAAAAATATCAGGAGGAAGAAAGGAAAAGCGATAACTAGCTGAAGAACAATGTGAACATAGTAAGTGAACTGAAAATTAGGTTCATGTTTGGAGCGGGAGTAAAGGCCGGCAATCGTCGCCATTTTCCGGCCTAGTCGACGACGAAGGTTTTTCAGTGGGTTTGTTTGTTCACTGCTTCAGGCGTTTTGCTGGTCGGGACTAGTGGTGATGGTAGTTTGAAGAAGTTAAAGAAAAGAAGAGGGAGTGGGGTTGCCAACTGGACAGCTCATGGGATTTCGGGTGACGGCGGCGACTAACCAATGAAAAGGGGAGAAAGGAATGGGCGCGGCTGCCATGACTTGTTTTATTCTTGTTTATCATCTATGGTCCGCCAATTTTTGCCAATCTTTTGCCTGTGAGCGCACGAGGCCTGGAAAATGCTTTATTTTTTCTTATTTTTAATCTTTGGTGAAAATTTTAAAGAAGGAGAAGTAGAGATGAAGGTAAGTGAGGTCCACATAGAGTACGGTTAAGTTCAAGCGCTCAGATACGAATAAAAAGCAGATACGAATAAAAAGCACACGCTTCACTATGTTATCATGAGGGATTCATGAGTTAAACTTCAGTGGAGAGGAGGTGTCAAATGGTAAAGGGATCATTTGAGGTGTCTATCTGATCGTTATGGACAACTTAAATGCAATGTTCAACTATTTCGCCTTTATTTTTCGTAACATATCAACAAAGTTACATCAATCCATCTTTAAAGTAGGATTATCTAAGATTATAACCCGCATGTTATCTTATAAACGCTCTAAATTTTTCTTCCAAGACGTCAGAAAGTTTCACATTAGTTAGGACAGAACAAATGTGGTCTCCTGCGCGGGGTCTCCAATTAAACATCAAATTACATTGCGAGTATTTCATCAAGAAAATGTCCTAGGTTTACTTTGTTCGTTTGTTGATGTTGGGCATATTTTCATATATTTTGACACTAATTTTCCTGTATTTTTACCGCTCTTTGATTATATTTGATATTAGATATGCTTCACTTAGCTTGATTATAGAGTTTTACACTTATTTGAATGTTAATAAATGATATAGGTACCTAAGAGGTGGAATTTGGATCAAAAATGACAAAAGTTGGAGTCAAAGCGTGGCATACAACATTGGTATAAACACGAGCTCGAGTGATTCATGCAAATAAACACTGAGAAGATAATTTCTTGAGTTGGGATTTTGTCTTGGAGTATCTCATTAATATTACATGTTGTACTAAGAGGTGGGGAGACCAAGTGATTAGGTGATGTTCATTACGGATGAAAACGTTAGAAAGAAAATGACATAGAGCAACAACTTGAAAGAATTAAGGAAAAGCAAAAGTTAGGCACGCACTACAAAGAATGAAGCAGCGTAACATTTACAAAGAAGCCGGAGACTTGGAAAGCGCAAGAATTCAAGGCAAAAACGATACTGGATTCTGCGCCAGGGGCAGCGCCTCTGAACGCTGGAGGCGGCACTTTTCCTAGTTTGCTCGGCGGCAGGTTATTTCGGCCCTACACGCCCCCAATCATATAAAAGGGGTCCTAAACCTATTTCGGAGTGGAGGATATTTTTGAGAGGAAAACATAAGCACAGAGCCGCCGTGGATGTCGAAATTCCATCTTTCTTCCGCCAAACTTAGTAATTTTTATGTTTCTTTGCAGAATTTGTTGTTTGGTTACCATGTCGATGTGGAGTTAAACTTCACGTTCCAGGGTTGTGGTTCTTTCCTGACTATTGTTATTCGAATATTGATTTTATTTTCTTGATTTATCATATTGGTTTATTTATTGAATCTTGCGCTCAATTATTTAATTGTTTCATCACCAATTGAATATTATCTACAAATCTAGAATTGAACTCGAAAGTAGGAATTCTAGATTGCACATAGAATTGAGTAGAGCAAGTTCATAAACCTGGGCATCGGGGAACGAATTCGCAGTTAGGATAGACATATACCTAATTGTCTTGCTTGGTTAATGTACAAGAATTATAAATGCATTCTTGTTAGTTCTATATCTATAGACATATAAGTGTTAGGTTAGCTTGCATAAGCGAGTAAGAACTCGACAGATTCTTATGAGCAATATTAAACCTGTGAACCAATGAACTAGATGAATTAGTTAGTCAATTCAATTGAAAAATATAATAGGAATGTTAGATAGCTCATAACAATAGTTACTAGTTAATCACAAGTCCTTGTGGGTTCAACATCCGACTTTTAGTCACTTTATTACTTGACGACCACGTATACTTGCATGTGCGTTTGGCCGCAACATTTGTTATCAGATTATAAAACTTAATCTCGATATAAATTTTGATATTATTGTATCCTTTGTTTGGGTGCATTTTTATTTGCAATATAAGTAATACAGATAGGTAAAATTTCATATCGATCACGTGGTATAATTTTATAACACATGCAATGTGGGATAACAATTCAAGAATTAGTTATTCTCGTATTAAAAAGAAGTAAAATAATAAAATGTCCTTCTACTAAAGCTCTCAAAATTTATCTCAAAAATTTATTTTTGGAAATAATTATCTCAAATTTAAACCACACGCGTGTTTTGAATAATACACAGTATACCTCATATTTAATGAAATGTACCAAACAAATTTTAAGTACCAAATAAGTCAGAAATTATTAATTCAATAATGCTATCCAAACATTGTAATAACATAATTTTTTGGAAAGCAAATGAATTCCAAGGGTTTGTTTATTGTTTTACAAGTTGTTCTTGTTGAGAATTTTTAGTTTATAGCATTGAGTTTTTCAATATCATTTTACATTATATAGTATCAGAGGTACATCTATATCTAAAGTTGAGTTATCTAGCACCCGTTTGGCCATAATTTTGGGCATATTTTTTTAAAAAAAAATTGAAAACACTGTTTGTTCATAGAACATGATCAATTTTAGAAAGAAAAAAAAAATCAAGTTCCCGATAACTAGTTTAGAACAGTTTTTGGGTGAAATTTTTTCTTTCACTCACTAAACTTAATGCATGTTCAAACACAACTTCAACTTACAAAATTATTTTTTGACACAATTTCAAAATTACTTTTTACAAGTATCAATCAAATCTATATCTAAACGCTAATCGTAATATCAGGACTGAAAGTTATTTTACCAACACTTTGAATTTTAGTCCAAGGCATTAGAAAGTTTCATATGGGTTAGGATAGGAAAAAGTGACCTCACTTGCGAGGTCTCCGATTAAACATGACACCGAGTCGCGAGTCTTTCAATCGATAAAATATCATTATTTTATTTTATTCATTTGTTTATCAAATATAAAAACTAATCTAGGTATTGATTTTGGTATTATATTATCCTTCATTTGATTGTATTTTTATAATTTTATTTTCAATATAGGTAAAATAAAAGTTACTTGGGTTCATTTACTTTGTGGGAAAAGTTCTGTTATTAAAATGATGGGATAACAGTACAAGGATATAATTCCTGAATTAGATACATATAAACTTTTTGGTTCATTTCACTACAAAATGGGTATTAAGTAAAACATGTGTTTAGTTTAAACTTGATAAGCTCTTGTTTTCCATTTTAGCAATAACCTTGTTAATAATCCTTGGGAAAGAGGAACAACTTTGTCATTTTACACTTCTTTTCAGTAATTAATTTTTGTTTTTGTGAGCAGGATGAGGCGGAATCTATGTAATAGGTTTCGTCAAAATTCTATTCAATAATTTTCGGTTTTCTAATTTTGAACTGATGTAAGCAGAATTCAATTCGATAAAAGAAATGGTATATTTACCTGTACAAGCTGGTTAAGGAAGAAAGATGCTGAGAGAAGTTGACGGATCGGCGGTAGAAAAAGCCCTTAGTTTACGGTCAACTCTAACATGGATGAACTCGACGAGAAGAACACAAGGGCGTTACTGCAAATCGGAAAAAACGCGATATGAAAATAATTACAGGTGTCATGTCATCTTTGAACCGGAAAAAAAAAACAGAGTGGTAAAAAAAGAAGAAGCAGTAAATTACACTACCGTTGAATTGAGCCACAGGTAGCTCATTGCCTATGGAAGAAAGGATATTTAACACATATTCGGTACTTAGGGCATTGAAAATGAACGGCGAGAGGAATTGAGAAGTGTCGTCGATGCTCGATCGGGTAAGGAACGAAACAGCAGCGTATACTCTATTATATAGAAAATAGAAACCAGAGCTGGGAACTTCGCTTCAGCTCTAAGAAATAGTACTACTCTTAAAGAGCAGCGTCACAGATGAGGGGAGCAGGTTAAATAGAGGACAGCCAAGTATATTTCGTATTTGCCAAGTTGGCACTACTCTTGGCTTGTAGAGCTCCAACAGAGCCAAGTGTATATGCCAAGTGGCACATAATCAGCTGTCTTTTACTCTTGGCTTACAGCACTCCACTTGTAAAGGACTTACTAACTTACTTAAATATCTCGCCCTCACTGTTTTTAGTAAAGTGGAATTCCTATTCTTTAATTTCTAGGTAACAACAATATTGTAGAAAGCAGATACTGTTATTATTTGATTACTTTTACTTGGCCTACAGACTTTGTGAGTCCCGAACCAAAGTGTTGCTCATTTTGACTCTGAGAGATCAAAGTAGGTGGAAAAAAATGCTTAGGACAATTTTATGTATATAACATATGAAATATACGTATAACGCATATCTTAACGGGGTATATATACGCTATACCTTAACGATCAGTTACCCCGTTAACGTATAACACATATATTACATGCATTATACTCAAAATTTTAAAATCTGTGGTATAGCACATATATTACATGCACTACAACTAAACCTAAAAAATCGGTCAGGTATAACGCATGTATTTTATAATCCTCATTTTATAATCCTCCCCCTATTTTATAATCCTCATTGGAGCCCATGTTGTCCCCAAAAATCGTGTGTCGCTATAATTATGAAAAAACACAATATTCAAGACTAGCTCGTGGTGTAGAACCTAATTTATGCTCGATCTCGTAAAAAGGTAGTGTATATTCACCGTTCAAAAACTTCTAAAAAAAGTATTTCGATAAACGTTTTTTTGTATTAATTGTTTATATTTTTGTGTTTAATTTGTTGTTATTAATTTATGTCATTATTTTTGTGCGTGCGTGTTTAGTTAATTATTTTTTCGTTAAATCCGAATTTATGCCATTGTTTATGCCATCTTTTCTTAAAATCCGAATTTATGCCATTCCGTATAACTTGTGATAATATGCGATGTTTTGTGATAATTTATTGTATTTGTCCTTTTTTTATCTATTTAAGAAATTGTGCTAGAATTTATTTTATGCATTAAATTTGTTGAATATTGCCTAATTGTTGAATATTGTCTAATTGTATAACAATAATTATTTTCCCTTCAGTAGCATAATCATTTATTGTAATCAATTACGGATCATATACTAATTAATTACTAATCTTATACTAAAAGTACAATCACATGCTAATTAATTAGAACACGATAATCTAAATAAATTAAATGTTTAGTGTTCTTTGGATGACGAATAAAAATATAAATAGTTGTCAGTACAAATGAGACCTTGGCCTTTTCTTGTCGTAAAATATAAAGTAATATATAAACCGTTACGAATTAAATAAATAATTAATAGTACTTTATGTAAAAATAATTAATAAAAATATCTCAATAAGTTAAAAAAATTAAATATCTAATGTTATTTTAATGATATATAAATATATAAAAAATTGTTAGTACAAATGAGACTCTGCCGAGTTTTTGTCTTAAAATGCTAATAACTAACATAAATTGTCATGAAATAAATAAATACTTTACATAGTATTAATTAATAATATAAAAATTTATGAATTAAATAATAATATAAAAAGTTATGAATTAAATAAATAATTAACAATACTTCGTATGTAATTAATCAATAAAATATTTCAAGATATCTCAAGACGTTAAATGAGTAAAGAGAACATGACTTTAATTAATATTATTCAATGTATAAACATCATTATGGATCGCTCGACTATTCATCATGGACCTATCTTTCGTGAGTTACTTACGCTCCAAGTGGGCCATATGTCATCACATATATGGGATGGAGAGTTGCTTAGCTATAACATCCACCCGAGACGCATTGATTACATTTGGAGTTTATTAGGGATCACCCACTACATCAGCGCACAGTTGCGTGCCTCACGGACTAGTTTTTACCGAGTTGTCGAGGTCGGTAGTTTGCAGTTCGATTGGTCCTTGATCATGGCTTTGATCGAGCATTGCAGGCCAGAGACACATACATTTCATTTGCCTATCGGGGAGGCCACCATCACGCTACAGGACATGGAGGTTTTATTGGGGTTACCTGATGATGGTCTTGATGTCCACTACCGTCATGCGGTTAGGGAGTATATGAGGCATGGCTATCTAGAGATGCTGGAGAGGCTCACTGGATTCCTGCCGGTTGAGGAGACTCCGATAAGTAGAGTTAGTCGATTACAGATATTTCCTATTAGGAAGCACCTGGAGGCGCTTCACCAACAAATCACGGAGGAAATACCAGTGTAGGGCATTGAGCGACAATCTAGGCTGTTGCTTTTGATGATATTTGGCGGCATTCTTTTCCCGAACACCTTGGAAAACCTTGTGAGCCTACGTTTCTTGCCTTATCTGGAGCGCTTAGATGATTTACCTATATAAAATTAGGTCGGTGTAGTTGTAGCTGTATAGGCAGCTATGTAGGGCGTCGATGGATAGTGTGAGGGACGTTGCTGGATTTATTCTGCTTCTACAAGTGATAACATTATCAATTCTTTTCATGATTATCATAGATACAGTAAAGTTTTTGGGCTTGGGAGAGATTCTTGCTGATGCAACACCCCTCATCGACCACTAGCTCCAGATGTACTACCTCCGCTGCTTCTACCCCGTGCTAGGAGGTGAGTATATAGAAGAGGCCACTCCTGCAACGTCATGATATCATTTCCTGAGTTTGTGGTTCACAAGGAGGTACCAACTTCTATACCCTCCACCTCGAAGGAGTCGGTAGACAAACAGACCCTTGAGGACGATGAAGAAGACTTCTTCACTCCTCGAACCTTCATTTCCCCCGAAGAATCAGATGCAACAAAGTCAACAGTTGAAGAACTGGAGCAAGCTGTTTTGATCAAGCATCTCCCGGATCGGAAGGTATACCTGGAAACGGGACTAACCCCTGAACTCAGGTAAAAAAGTCATTCAATTTCTTATCAATAACATCGATTGCTTTACTTGGTCCCATTTAGACATAATAGGGATCTCGCCAGAAATAACCACCCATCGACTAAGTATCGACCCCAGGTTCAAAACGGTGAAGCAAAAAAGGAGACCTCAGTCCGAGGTAAAACACGCATTCATCTAGGACGAGGTAACAAAACTCCTCAAAATAGGGTCTATTAAGGAGGTAAAATATCTCCAATGGTTGGCTAATATGGTGGTAGTTCCCAAAAATTGGAATACATTAAGAATGTGCGTAGATTATAAAGACTTGAATAAAGCGTGCCCCAAAGATTCATTACCGTTGCCCAACATCGATCGCCTAATCGATGCCACAGCCAGCCACGAGATCCTAACCTTTCTCGACGCCTGCTCAGGGTATAATCAAATCTAGATTAACCCCGAGGACAGGGAGAAGACTTCGTTCATCACGAAGTACGGTACGTACTACTACAATGTAATGCCTTTCGGGCTAAAAAACGCGGGAGCCACGTACTAACGCCTAGTTAATAAGATGTTCGAACATCAAATAGGCCAATCTATGGAAGTTTACATTTATGATATGCTAGTTAAGTCCCTGCACGCAGAAGACCATTTGACTCATTTGCAGGAAACATTCGACATCATCATAAGCTACAACATGAAACTCAACCCCGAGAAATATACGTTCGGAGTGGGTTCGAGTAAATTCTTAGGCTTCATGGTGTCAAATAGGGGGACTGAGATCAACCCCGACAAAATCAAAGCCATCGAAGAAATCACGGTGGTGAATAATGTGAAGGCCGTGCAATGGCTGACCGGGCAGGTAGCAGCCTTAGGCCGATTCATATCGAGGTCTTCTGACAGAAGTCATCACTTATTCTCTTTGCTCAAAAAGAAAAACAACTTCAAATGGACTCTAGAATGCCAACGCACCTTAGAGGAGTTGAAGCGATATCTGACAAGCCCGCCTTTACTCGACACCCCAAAAGAGGGTGAAATGCTATATTTGTACCTGGCCGTATCCGAGGTAGCGGTAAGTGGTGTGCTGGTTCGAGAAGAACAAGGTATGCAATTCCCTGTTTATTATGTAAGTCGGACCTTAGGAAATGCCGAAAACAGGTATCTACACCTGGAAAAATTGGCTCTTGCATTGATAAGCGTATCTCGAAAATTAAAACTTATTTTCAATGGCATCGTATTTGTGTTTTAACGACATATCCTCTTCGAGGCATATTGCATAAGACCGAATTATTGGGACGACTGGCCAAATAGGCCATTGAGCTCGGGGGGTATGATATCGAGTATCAGTCCCGAACGACTATCAAGTCCCAAATTTTGGCGAATTTTGTGGCCGACTTTACGCCCGCCCGTGCCCGAGTTAAAGAAAGAACTCCTACTAAAAACGGGCACATCTTCGGGGGTATGGACCTTATTCACTGATGGTGCCTCGAACGCGAAAGGGTTCGGGCTCGGTATAGTTCTGAAGCTACCTACGGGCGGCATGATTAGGCAATCAATAAAAACCGCAAGGCTGACTAACAATGAAGCCGAGTATGAGGCTATGATTGCAGATCTGGAATTGGCCAAAGGCCTAGGAGTGGAAGTAATCGAAGCAAAATGTGATTCCCTTCTAGTGGTAAATTAGGTAAATGGGAGCTTTGAGGTTCGGGAAGACAGGATGCAAAGATAGTTAGACAAAATTGAAGTCACATTGCAGCGCTTTAAAGAATGGACTCTGGTCCACATACCTCGGAAGCTGAATAGTGAGGCCAATGCCCTTACAAATCTTAGATCATCAGTCGAGTAAGATGACATACTCTCCGGGGCTGTTGTTCAACTATCCAAATTAGTGATCGAGGAAGGCCATGCCGAGAGCAACTCCACTAGCCTGACATGGGATTGGAGAAATAAATATTTTGACTATCTAGAAAGTGGAAATCTACCCACGGACCCAAATAAGTCAAGGGCCCTGCGAACCAAAGCAGCCCGGTTCTCGCTCG